AAGAAAGAAAGAAAGAAAGAAAGAAAGAAAGAAAGAAAGAAAGAAAGAAAGAAAGAAAGAAAGAAAGAAAGAAAGAAAGAAAGAAAGAAAGAAACTCGGCCAATTGTTTCTCCTTACAGTTCAGGTATCGTAAACAGACAAGGCATACATGGTCGCATATGATCGCAAGGGACAACTGATGATCTCAGAACTGTTTCTTTGGCTCCACTTAAAAGAAAGATGTAGTGAGGCCCCTGGAAAGGGTTCCACCCTAACAATCAGTGATCGATAAAGTCCCACTGATCTGACTCTTACCCGAAAAGAACGGCAGTTATGACAGTCACCAAGAGTCCCAGACTTGCTTCACTTTTCCAGACCTGGCCAGAGATTATTGGTTTGAGGGAAAGGGACTGTCTTTGGGGTTTTCAGGCTAAGTCTGCATGAACAAGGGCTGGAACACATAGACTCAGTCCTTGGTGCAGGGAGGAAGTTTGAGGGAATCAGAGGGCCAGCTCTTTATGAGAGCCACCATGGCCACTAGGGCCATATTCCCTAAGAGCCTCATTAGAGACAAGGAGTGAGTAATTGTCCCTTTTCATCTTTATGCTGGTTTGGATCCAACATTGATAATAAGGACCTAGTGTTGGAGTTATGCAATTGCTGCTTTAGGGCTTGGCAGCACTGGAAATGATACAATACTGGGGGAAGTCATTAGCAAGAATTTTTCTGCTAGAGAAAACTTACAGTCCTATATTTTATACCCCACTCCCACTGGGTCAGTGTCCTTGTTAGGAAATATACATGATGCCACATACGAATTAAGAGAATAAACTTTTAATTCACACGGATGTGTCCTTAATTCCCAGATCTACCATTACCAGTTGTGTAACCTTGAGAAATCTATCAACCTTCTCAGAACCACAAAATAATATTCACCTTGTACAGTTGTGTAGATTAAATGAAGTAACTTATGTTGAACATCTCATGACCCCTAACCTCATCAATGCACTGGGCTTGGCCCATGTCCAGAACATAGAAGCTAAAGGTGTTAAGTGATATCTATGTCTTTCATCCTCTACTCAATCATCTGTGTTCTGGATAAATATCACTTGTAAATAGTGTCTTGTGTTCATCTTCATATGGCAATAGACATTTTTATAAAGGGTCAGCTGACAAGCTTTTATTCTATATTCTATATTTTATTCTATATTTAATGAGGTAGAATATGAACCATTATTGAGTCCATTTATAAATTAGTATAGCATGGATGCCAATGAGGAACAGAATTTCTGAGTCCAGGAGGCATCACCACATAGCACTAAAGACAAGACCTGGCTTTAAGGTGCCCATAAAGTTTTTAGTCTTATGCACTGTAAAATTTACTTTCCTGAGTTCATAATATTAAAGGGTTACTCAAAAAACCATACACTTCCATCAGAAGTGCCAGTTGAATCGCTAAAAAAAAAGCATTCTGGAAACTAGTGTTACTCTAACTGATCTTCCACTTTAGGTTATTTATAAATTATTTATAAATAATGACTAGTATATACATAAATTTATATATTATAATTTAATATATAATTATAATTAATAAATAATATATAAATAAATAAATATTATTTATAAAGAATATATTCTTCATGATGATTATGATGTCTTCATAAATATCACTCACCTGTTCCTGGTAACTCAAGGTAAGAACTTTAGGGCCATAAGGACTTCTCATGTCTCCATCAGATATATGTTACCAGATATCAAGTTCTGTACATTCTATCTCCAAAAATAGGTCTAAAAATACCTCACAATGTTAGTTATCAACAATCTGTGAAGGAGAGGAAAAATAGTCACGGGATTACTAAAGAAATCATTTGCAAAATGAAAACTAACTTCTATCAGTTTAAGGAGAAGTGGAATCTATTGGTTGATGTAATTGCAAAGTCCAAACTTCTTGCAAATTTCAGGCAGGGCTAGATTCAGGGGCTCAAATAATGACATCAGAACATGTATTTCTTATCTCTCTATTCTGTTTATTTCTGTTTGACTTCATTCTACAGACTGTCTCTCCGTGTGGCAGATAAAATGGCCAGCAGTGGCTCCAAACTCACATCCTCCTAAACTAGTAATCATTGGGCACATAGAACTTCTACCAGTGTTCTTTTGTAATTCTTTAAAAAAAAATTTAGGGGCACCTAGGTGGCTCGGTTAGTTAAACGTTCAACTTTGGCTCAGGTCATGACCTTGCAGTCCCATCCATGAGTTCAGGCCCCTCATTGGGCTCTGTGCTGACAGCTCAGAGCCTGGCGCCTGCTTTGGATTCTGTGTCTCTCTCTCTCTCTCTGCTCTTCCCCCACTCACCTCTTGTCTCTCTCTGTCTCTCAGAAATGAATAAACATTAAAAAATGTTTTTTTAATTTTTTTAAGTTTACTTATTTATTTTTGAGAGAGAGGGAGAGAGAAAATCCCCCAAGTAGGCTCTGTACCACCAGGATCAGAGCCTGATGTAGGGCTAGAACCCATGAACCATGAGATTATGATCTGAGATGAAATCAAGAGTCAGACACTTAATCGACTGAGCCACCCAGGGTCCCGCTTTAAAATTTTTTTTAATGTTTTATTTATTTCTGAGAGAGAGCGCAGGATCAGAGACAGGGGCGTACTGAGGATCCAAAGCAGGCTCTGTATTGACAGCAGCAAGTCACAAACCACAAGATGTGGGGCTTGAAGTCACAAACCACAAGATATGACTTGAGTCAAATTCGGATGCTTAACTGACTGAGCTACCCAAGCACCCCTAAAATTATTTTTAAAGATTTATTCTCTTTCGGGTGTAGGCACTGTGGGGTAGGACAGAGTACAGAGATTTGGAATGAGGCTTTGCAACCTTTATAAAATATGGAATGCTTCACAAATGTGTGTGTCATCCTTGTGCAGGGGCCATGCTAATATTCTCTGTATAGTTCCAATTTTTCAGTATATGTGCTGCCAAAGCAAGCATGCGATTTTTTTTTTTTTTTTTTTTAGTAAACTCTACCCCCAACAGAGGACTGAAATTCAGGACCCAAGATCAAGAGTCGGATGCTTTATTGACTGAGCCAGCCAGGTGCCTTGCCAGTGTTTATTTATTAACTTCAGGCAAGACTGTGATAATTTCTTCTTGAATCACATGGCCAAATCCAAACCAATCATTCTGGATAGGAGAGCGTGGTGTTTTGGTAATCTTGGGTTTTAAACCCAATCCATTCCATGTGGGAATCCAGTGACGTACATTATCATCGGGACTAAATGTAGGAAGGGAGGAGTTTCCCAAACAGATCCAAAGAATGGAAATGGGAAGGAACGTCCTTGAACAAAAAATCTGGTTACTAAGATTCCACTAGTTCCTCCATCAGTTGAGTTGAACAAAGGACTGGAGAAGGAACACTTAAAAAAAAAAAAAAGGATAAAGTAGTAAGCTGTTCTAAAAGTTAAGGTGAACTAAACAAAAAACAAAATCTGCAATTAATGATAACTCAGTATCAATGAGCACCCCTAGCACCTGGATGTTGGCTTCTAAACACCATTTCCTATTAAAAGGAAACAGGATTCCATAGAGAAAAGGCTGATTCCAAGTCTGGGCAGGAATAAGATAAGGTGACTCTAAGACATTATATGTGTGTAAGTAAGAAAATACTCAAAGTTCAATGAGAATATTTCTAAAACTGCAAATATTTCTAAACTATTTCTTTAGGCTTGAAATTTTTGAACGTAAAGATTTGTGAATGAATAGACATCTTTAAAAAGAAATAAAGATGTCACATTGAAAAGACTTCCTCCACTGGCCAAATTTGGAACAATTTGAGCATCAACTAACTAAACAAATAATTATAAGTGATTACAAAACATTAAAATATTAAAATCTGGGTATCAATAATAATAGTATAAAAAAGAGAAAAATGTAAGGTAATTTGCTATAACCAGAGGTGAAAATCAATAATTAAAGGGAAAGAATTTAGCATGTACCCTCTCTTTTAAAAGTGATCTGAAGTTCATCTTGGGTTTATTTTGGGAGGAAAGCTCTTCTTTACAGAACAATGCCAGTTAAGAAATAATGAAAAATGATAGAACTAAGAAATCTTCATTCTTTAATTCCCAGTGAAATAAGTGATTGATACAATGATTATGAATGAATGTTAGAAGCAGTATGTAATAGGCGCACCTGAGTCAGTGGAGCCTCTGACTCTCGATTTCAGCTCAGGTCACGATCTCACAGTTTATATGGTTGAGCCCCATGTCAGACTCTGTGCTGACAGCGTGGATTCTGCTTGGGATTCTCTCTCTTTCTCTCTCTCTCTCTCTCTCTCTCTCTCCCCCTTCCCTCCCTCCCTTCCTCCCCCCCCACTTTGCATACTCTCTATCTCCCTAAAAATAAACTTCAAAAATTGCTTTTATAAATTCACTATCACAAACCATCTTTCGCAGCAACATAGCCTTTACCAAGTTATCAGATAACATCACTAATACCTCCAATTCCAATAAAACCCCACAGGATTTATGGAAGCCTTCTCTTTTTCAAGCTCCATCAGTGAGAAATCTGGCTCCCATTAGCCTCAATATATTAACTAATTTGTTTAGCCCTCTGTACATAGCCCATTTCCTGACCCTACCAAGCTGCCTTCTAGGTTGGCCACAGTGGGCTGAGTTCCGACCTGCCCTGTACCTGGCCGTGTACCAAACTAGCTCTCCTATCCAATCTCACATGAGAAATGTTTGCATCAATATTTATGGGCTTGATTCTCTAGACAAGTGGCTCACAACCATGAGACACTGGACATATGGGGATATTTTTAGTTGTCACAACTATGGGGGTGCTACTGGGATCTAGAAGATGAAGTGCAACAATGCTGTTCAACATTCCACACTGCACAGGATAGCCCCCTACAACAGAGAATGATCTGCCTCACAGTGTCAAAAATGCTGAGATTGAGAGTATAATACATCTAACTTAAATGATATGGTACTATGCACATCAAAAGATCTTTCTGAGTCTTGCTAACTGAAGAAGTTCATTCAAAGGCATCCACTGGGCATGTATTTAAGGAAAATTGACTTTCTCACCCTCTTCTTCTGCCTAGCGCCAAGCAGAAGAGGAAGCCTATGCCCATCAAAGGACTTGAACCCGTGACTCTGCAATTAAGTCTCATGCTCTACTGACTGAGCTTCCTGGGCACACAAGTCTGCCACTTCTACTCAGAGAAGATTGTGAGGCACGACCGTGAGGATACAGCCTGCGCAACAATGACTGATGGCTGGAGGAGAAGTGCACACAGCCCAGCAGGATTTTACCCAGGTCTCCCAGTCAGCAGGTGGCTCAGGGACTCTTAAGGTCCAGGATCCCAAAGCAGGGGCTCGACAACAAAACCCACACGGCAGGAATGTGTCCCCCTCTGGAAGCTTGTGTCTTCCATAAGCTGTAGGTCCCAAAGGCATCCAAAAATACCCTGAGATGGGAAGCCTGCATGGCTTAGTTGGTTGAGTGTCCAACTTCAGCTCAGGTCATGATCTCACGGTTCATGGGTTCGAGCCCTGCATCAGGCTCTGAGCTGACAGAGCCTGGAGCCTGCTTCGGATTCTGTGTCTCCCTCTCTCTCTGCCCCCCGCCCCCACTCCTGCTCTGTCTTTCAAAAATAAATATTAAAAAATTTAAAAAACAAAACAAAACAAAAATACCCTGAGATCAAGACCTGATCTGAGATCAAGAATTGGTAACTTAACTGACTGAGCCACCCAGATGCCCCCAAAATTACTTTTTAAGACAGAAGAAAAAAGGAAGTCAGATTCCACATCCAAGGAAATTGCTGTTTTTCATTTTTGTTTTGTCCCTCACCAGGCTCCAGGCCTGCAGCCTAATAGAGAACACCAACATTTAACCTGAACATAAACACACCAGTCATCTTCTCAAGGATGACAGGTTCTCTCTACCCTGTTAGGCTACTAACCCTGCTCACTCTCATTATTTAATGGGGGATAGAGGGGGTGCCTGGGTGGCTCAGTCTTTGAGTTCCCAACTCCTGATTTCCACTGGCGTCATTGATCCCAGGATTGTGGGATTGATCCCTGTGTAAGGCACTGTGCTGAGGGTGGAGCTTGCTTAATATTTTCTCTCTCTCTCATTCTGTCTGTGTGTGTCTGTCCCTCTCCCCCCATGGATCCATTTTCTCTCCCTCTAAAATAAAATTTAAAAAAAAAAAAAAAAAGGAAAAGGAAGGGGGAAAAAAAAGAGCACTAGAGGTGGACTAGAGGTGGTTAGTCTTAAGATTTAATTCTGAACCAGGCACCTGAGCAAACTCAAAAGCCTGGCATGGGACCTTCCAGTCCAAAAAGCATGTGAAGAAAAAGAAACCCTTGTGCACTGTTAGTGGGAATGCAAACTGGTACAGCTACTATGGAACAATACAGAGGTTTCTCAAAAAATTATGCTTTATGTATTTGAGAATTATGTTGTTATGTGCATACACATTCATAATCTCTAAAACTTCTTGATAAATTCTTGATGAGCTGAGTCACATGGCATTCAAAGACATCTTTTGCTAGACCCCAAATCCTGGACTGACATTGAGATTCTAACAGTGAGACCACCCTGGAGGATCTATAAAAAGTCACAGAAGTAATTATATTGAAATAACAGAACCCTACATAGAAAATCACCCATAATCTTAACCCAGATCACGCCAACATTATTGTTGGCCTGTGTCACCTCAATTCTCTCCAAGCGCCCATTCAATTCTGACATTCATATATCACAGGTGCAAATGTCTGTTCTCTACATTTTGTTTACCTTTTTAATTACACACATTGGATTTTGCTATAGTCTCTTTTTTTTTTCCTCCCCTTGCCTGCACGGTTTTAAAAACAACTGATCACACACCTTTCTCATACTGGAATCTTTGAGGTCCAGCAAGAAAGATGGAAGCTCTTTTTTAAGTTGAACAACATTATGTTACTTGCCCAATTAACCTTGGGCACCTATAAGTGTGAATAGTAGGAGTACATTGCTTGGTTCCCTTGTTATTAAACCTCTAGACTTATAAGGAGTAAGTTTATTGAGTTTCACAGGTTTCCTCTCACCACGTGTAGGATTCCTACAATCTAAAACAACCCGCCCCTATTTAAAGGTTAAGCCCAACCTATTACCCCAGATGGGACTACAAACCCACAATCCCTGGCTTAGGAGGCCAGTGCCTTATCCATGAGGCCACTGGGGCAGCTGCCAGCATGCTTCCTTAGTGGCTGACAAGTGTTCCAAAGATTGGTTTGGGTTTTTACTCGAGATCAGGCCGAGTTTGTACAGTGTGTATTCCAGCCTCCAGAAACAGCAGTGAAGGAAACAAACACCCCTACCCGCAAAGCCCCCCCTTGCACCGTCCTCTGCCAGCGATCTTGCGGCTCCTCCACCACAGGCTTCGCAGAGTCTGGCTTCTCTGTTTCCTCCAGAAGGAGTCCCTTGCTCAGAAACACACTTGTTTCTCCGGAGGAATGGATTCAGAGCGCAGAAGGGTCTCTGGCTGGCTCAGGCGGTGGGGCGCGGGCCTGGCCACTGGGCTGCATGGTTGATAAGTGTGCTGTCCTCTCCGGACCCATCATGACCAGTGACCCAGCTGGGCGCTGGGCTGGGAGGTAGACGGTGCGGCCGTCACAGCGTGCAGTGGGGGACGACCCTCCGGGCTCTCTGAGGCTCAACCGCAGGCCGAAACCAGAGCCTACTGCGCTGCGATCCGCCACTGGGTGCCACCACTCCGGGCTCGGCTAACGTCCAGGGGACGGAGAGATACCGGAAGACTCCACTCTGGGCCCTCACCTTTCCAGGCTGGGTGCGAGAGCTGGCACCAAGCACCAGACCGGACGCCTCCGCTTAGGGCTGCCTGGAGCCGAAAGTCCGAGTATTGTGGACACACCCCCTGCAATTTTCCTCGTAACACTCCCCCCCAATTATTCACTGAGGCTTGTAATTTATCCAAT